CCGATTTGGAGAAGTGTGTGCTCAACGTGTCGGGCATGACCTGCGCCTCGTGTGTGGCCAACATTGAGCGCAATTTAGGCAAAGTGGAGGGCATTCACGGCGTTTTGGTGGCCCTCTTGAGCCAAAAGGCGGAGATCAGATACGACGCCGCATACGTTATGCCGCAACAGATCGCCAACTTTGTCACCGAACTCGGCTACCCGTCGACTGTCATCGAATCGCATCAGACCGCCGACGGAGAGATCGATCTCCGCATCCAACGCATGACCTGTTCCTCGTGTGTCTATAAGATCGAGTCAACGATTGGCAAACTTCCCGGCGTTAAGAGTGCGGTCGTGTCGTTGTCTACAAATAAGGGCCGCTTCGCGTTCGACGCCGAGGTGACGGGTCCGCGCACTATAGTCGACGCCATCAACGATCTGGGCTTCGAGTGCTACCCAATCACAGACCTCTCGATGACGAACGCCTCGTATTTGTCGCAGAAGGAAGAGGTGCGGAAGTGGCGCAACTCGTTCTTCTTCTCGTTGCTGTTCGGCGTGCCGTCGATGATAGTAATGATGTATTTCATGCATAAGATGCCAATGAAACACGACGAAGAGCACGATGTGATCGATCAGTGTTGCATTCTTCCGGGTCTGTCGCCCGAAAACTTTTTCCTCTTCCTGTTGGCGACTCCCGTGCAGTTCATTGGCGGCCGTTATTTCTATGTCCAGGCGTGGAAGGCTATTAAGCACCGGATGGCGAATATGGATGTACTGATAATGTTGGCCACGAATATCGCGTACTTCTATAGTGTGGCCATTTTGTTGTATTTCATGGCAGTGAACGCAGACCACAGTCCGCGCACATTTTTCGAGANCCAATGAAACACGACGAAGAGCACGATGTGATCGATCAGTGTTGCATTCTTCCGGGTCTGTCGCCCGAAAACTTTTTCCTCTTCCTGTTGGCGACTCCCGTGCAGTTCATTGGCGGCCGTTATTTCTATGTCCAGGCGTGGAAGGCTATTAAGCACCGGATGGCGAATATGGATGTACTGATAATGTTGGCCACGAATATCGCGTACTTCTATAGTGTGGCCATTTTGTTGTATTTCATGGCAGTGAACGCAGACCACAGTCCGCGCACATTCTTCGAGACGCCGCCAATGCTTCTCATATTCATATCGTTGGGCCGATGGCTCGAACACATCGCCAAAGGCAAGACATCCGAAGCGTTGGCCAAATTGATGTCACTTCAGGCCACGGAAGCGATTCTTGTCAAATGGAATTCAGATCTCAACCAAACCATAACTGAGAGATCAATTGACGTCGAACTCGTCCAAAGAGGCGATTATCTCAAAGTCATTCCCGGAGCCAAAATACCAGTCGACGGACGGGTAGTTTACGGCCACTCTATGGCCGACGAAAGTCTCATAACCGGCGAATCACTGCCAGTGGCCAAACGGGTCGGCTCTCTGGTCATCGGCGGCTCTATTAATCAAAACGGAATGCTTATCGTCTGCGCGACACACGTGGGAAAGGATACCACACTTTCGCAGATCGTTAAGCTCGTAGAGGAGGCGCAGACATCCAAAGCGCCGATACAACAGTTGGCCGACAAGATTGCCGGCTATTTCGTGCCCGGAGTGATGTTTGTGTCGATGACAACACTCGTGGCGTGGATTCTTGTCGGCTATTACTACCACGAAGTGATCCGTGCGTATCATATGCACCAATACATCGACATATCCGACGACGAAGTGGTCTTTCAGTTCGCGTTTCAATGCGCGCTCACAGTCTTGTCGATCGCGTGTCCCTGTAGTCTGGGTTTAGCCACTCCTACGGCCGTAATGGTGGGCACAGGTGTCGGAGCCGTCATACCCTATGAGTAGTTTCCGCGGCTTGGCGATCTTTTGCGTGTATTTCACTTTACGCAACAGAAGCTATTCTGCCCTTGGTATTGAGTGCCGTGTGGCTAACACTGGTTTTAATAAAACAAATTATGGACGAAAGCCGAGCGTATGTCTCCCTTACGATATTTGAGACAATTGTTGGCAGTGATCGGAACCGCTGAGAACAACTCAGAGCATCCGATCGCAAACGCCATTTGTAATTACGTGAAGAACGCGCTCGAAATCGATGTCTTTGGCACTTGCGATGACTTTGTCTCAGTGCCTGGTTTTGGTCTCCAATGTCTAGTCTCTAATGTGGACTCTATTATCAATTCTTCCGATAAGAATCTGATGAACGAAATAAAACTAAACACGAATACAAACTATGATGTCCTGCATCTCAACGACATTCAGATAGAGTTTCACAAAACAAATACAAATTCAATGCCAGGCTTGTTACTCAACTCAAGGCTGACATTTAGGAAAGCTCATAACCAGCCGTTGTCTCTCACCTACTGAGCGTTGCTTGAGCTTCAGAACGGTCTGTACCTAGATGACTACTCTGTTGTGCTTGTCTGCGGACAGACAGCGGTTTTGTGCTCTATAAACGGAGAGCTCAAATGTATGATATCAGTGGCCGATACCGTCAAACCGGAGGCACACTTAGCCGTCTATTCGCTGAAGAAGATGGGTCTCGATGTCATTCTACTGACAGGTGATAATAAGAAGACTGCGGCCGCCATTGCCAAACAGGTGGGCATCACTCGTGTCTTTGCCGAAGTGTTGCCATCGCATAAAGTGAAGAAAATCCGAAAACTCCAGGAAAAGGGAATTTACTGACAGGTGATAATAAGAAGACTGCGGCCGCCATTGCCAAACAGGTGGGCATCACTCGTGTCTTTGCCGAAGTGTTGCCATCGCATAAAGTGAAGAAAATCCGAAAACTCCAGGAAAAGGGAATCAAAGTGGCAATGGTTGGCGACGGTGTGAACGACTCGCCCGCCTTAGCGCAGGCCAACATCGGTATCGCTATCGCCAACGGAACCGATGTGGCGGTGGAGGCGGCGGATGTGGTACTCGTCAGAGTGAGTAGCATTCAAATGACTTTTTATACTCAGTTTTTAATGTATTATTTGTTTTCTATATATCAGAACGATTTGCTTGACGTCGTCGGAGCCATTGATTTGTCTCATCGGACTGTCCGCCGAATTCGACTCAATTTCCTGTTCGCCAGTGTTTACAATCTGTTGGGCATTCCAATGGCCGCCGGAGTGTTCCTTCCCTGGGGTATAGTCTTGAAGCCATGGATGGGTTCGGCAGCGATGGCCCTCTCGTCCGTATCCGTAGTCTGTTCTTCGCTTCTCTTGAAAATGTATACAAAACCCACGAAAAGGACTCTTCAGACGCAGGAATACCTGGACTTTGAGTTAATGACCAGAGATTTGCGAAATAATCCCGATTTTGATGACATATCTCTGCATCGAGGCCTCGAAGACACGAACATTCCTGAGCCCAAGGGATCGTTAATTAGTGCCAATTTGAGTAAAGTGTTGAATATGATGCCCGTCTCATCCAAAACCATCATCAGAAACGACAAGAGCTCTCAACCACTGCTCGATAGAAGCGATATCACAAGCTATGAAATGAATCAAATGGTCTAATCATTGAAACTAATACTATAAACATATTGTGATTATTATTGTGTCTATTATTTAATACCGTATTTTGAATTATGATTTACTTTTGATTTGTTTAATCGTTTATTATATAATTGTTGCTTTAGTTGAATATATTATATTAATATTAATAACTCATTGTATTTATTATAAAATGTTACGATCAATAAATAATGGCTTCTATTGACTGTTAAAATATGTTTACAAATTGAAATTCTTACTGATTTTTGTTATTTTGAATATTGTGTTGAGTTAATTATGGTCATTATTTCACCATAGTTTTCTACGACTGGCTAATGACATTGATGATCAGTAACTTACCTTTATACTTGCTATTTGTTAATAACTTTTACAGACAGTAAAATAAATGCAAATCAGGAATAATTTTTATAAATCATTTTATTGATCAACAATAGCGCTGATAATTAATTATCAATTCTATATTAAATCTACTTTTAATTATAAATAATTGACATAAATATGAGCTACAGATTTGTAATTGATTTGTGAAATTGTTTTCCATGACTGATATCTATTATAGTTTTGTGTTTTATTTAATTTTTGATAATAATTATAAGAAGAAAGAGTTGTTTGTTTGTAAAATAGGTTTTTTATATATTCTGTAATTCATTGTGAGAATTGATTCGTTAATATTAAATAAAGATTACTTTTGTTAGTTTATTGAACAGAATATAATAATAATAATAACTTTTTATGAATACTATTAGTCCAGCGCTTAAATGCATTCAAAATTTGTTTCAATGATAAATATTTATATCTTCTTTTGTGTGTTTCTTTACAATAGTTTTATTATATTTATTTATATATATTGTCTGTTAGTATTTGAATCAAAATGTGTTTAACAAGTGTGTTTTGTTGCGTAAAAATCAACAACAAAAAATTTACATTTTATAGTTTAAAATTGTATTTTTCTGTTTGATTAACACACGTATAAATCGGTGTCAATCGGCGCTATACTATTGGCAAACCCTCGGATTGATTAACATTATTGTGTCTGAATTTCCCACATCTTTTGAAAATTGATTAAAACATTGTTTAGTCTTTAAATTTTATATATAATTGGACTGAAGGCACGATTCCAAGAGTTGTCTCACTTTTGATTTAATTTAATTAATTATTTTTTTACATAATATATATTTTGTTACAACAGATTATTCATTCAAATTAACTAATCTTTGGACACAAAATACAAAGTTTTAATTGTTTTATTTGTTTCAATACTCAACAAAAATGTGATACAATTCTGTAAGACTTGAAACACTTGGAGTGCAATACCGGATAACTATTACAGTATATATTTTTGAATTGAGTTAACATAACATTATTAGACATTAACACGTTTTCAATCATGGGATCAATCCGAAGGACAACTCATTTGCACCCAATCGTCGTCGAAACCCATCTCTATCAGGCATTAGGCCTACAATTCTTCACATTATATAACATTTTCTTAATTATATTGCTTTAACAATAGATGTTTCATAAAATTATATTGTTTATAATGTACTAAGAACTTGAAAATAAAATACTTTTTACAATATTAGACTATTTTTATACATGTATGAAAAATCATAATTAAAAATGTATTTTTTTATATAACAAATATATGAACCAAAACACAAATTGTTGAAAAAGTGATGCATTTAATGGTCCGGCAGTTATCTCGTTGTCTAAATTTGGTTTGAAATTTTCATTCATTCAAATATAACGCATTTGCAGTGCTTTTCCCACAACAAAAACTTTGCTTATATTTTCAAAACACAGTTTATGTTTAAATTTTTTGCTTTTAATTTTTCTCTATCGCTTTCAATACAATTTGATTTGAATGACACAAAAAATATTGAGCTATTAAAATGTACGAAACAAATATCACATCCCATTCCCATCTCTCTATCTATCCGTCCATTTCAGTCCCAATAACACTAGTCTTCTCGCACTTCTCATACACTGAACAAAGCACTAGAAAATTGTTGTGAAAATTAACAAAAATTGTATTGATTTTGATCACAAAACTAATTGTTTTAATCTTTTCGTGTGAATTATTTATAGGTTTCCAACAAATAAAACGATGAAATCAATGACAACAACACAAAAAACACACATTTTTCTGTAAACTGAATCGGATTTGAGCAAAGATTTTACTAAAATGTTTATTTCAAATGTAGATTTCATTTTGTTTAAAGTGAGATTAAAATTTGTTTTTTAAATAATTAATTCTTATTTATATATATATTATAATAGATTTATTTATATATTTATATACTTTTCTGAGACAATTGAAATTAAAAACTCTCTAATAATAATTAGTTTAAATATTAAGTCTCACTAATAAGTTAAATATTTATCTCTTCAATTGAAAACAATTTTCTGGTTTTTAAAATTAATTAATTTAAATTAATTATTATATTATGAAACGATTGGACGATAAAACTTATGAGAAGTTTTCGGTTTGTTTTGTGGATTAATTAATAAATGAATTTAAAATTCATCTCCAAATATGTATTTATTATGTGTTTTTAAATATAACTATTAGTAAAAATCTCATAGAGAAATGTTTTTGTGCATATTTTTTTGTCAATTGAATTCAAATATTTATATATAATTTACATTTTTTCAGTTCATATTTGTAGTCGAATATAATATTATTTTTAATAATAATTTAATATTATATTATTTTCATATAATGAATGATTAAAATTGTTTTTTAGTTTCATCATTAATGTCGGAAAACCCGTAAATTTTGTATTAAAATTATTATTAATTACAATATTTTTCATTTACCAACTGATGTCAAATGTATACCAAAGAGTGATCTCATAAACACAACACAGAGATAGTGAGAGGGAATGCATTTACTGTACACTCGTTTGATAATTAAATTGCGAAAACGTATTCATAATTGCAATGATTATCGAGAAGTATATCTGCGATGAGTTTATGGGACGCCGCGTATCGTTCAGTCATTTTCATTGTCTTATGTAATGATATTATTATTATAATTATTATTATTATAATTGAAGTACTTTTTCAGCATTTCCTTTAATTTTCGTTTAGCAGAGAAAAAATATCATTGATTTTAAGAATCACTTCAATATAAGAGTCAGAAATAATAAAATTATGTTTTCGTCGAAATCATAAAAAACTAAAACATAATTAACTTTTATTTTTCGTTTTAGTTGTACTTTGTATGCGATCTCTTCTCTTCTCCTTCTTTTATATGAGCGATGATTTCGAGACACAAAACAACAGAAAAGAATATAACAATTCAAGCCGTGAAGTAAGAAAAAATATTTCTTTTATATAATTTTCTTCATTAATGTTTTTGCAAATTATATGTCGTTTTCTTTTGTTTTGTTAAGTTTTTTTTCTGTGAAATACAATACATTGTCTGCTTTGACTATAGGCTATAATAAAGTGGCAGTAATTTGTAAAATTTTAATTGAATTTTATTTGATTCAGTTGTTAACAGACTTTGTTGTCAATCAATTATAAGCGATAGAGTCCTTCATATGTATAATGAATGGCCGAATCAGTGGTTGAGACGGCAGTGGTTTGGTCTCAACATCCCATCCCTTTTCTCCATATCATTAATCTATTGGCGATGTCTTTAATATAAATGCAAAACTCAATCCCAAACGCATGGTTTGCATTCATTTATAATATATTCACAAATTATTAGTCTTTATTTCTTCTCTTTTAAACATTAAAATACCATTTATTCGTAAGTTATGTACAAATAAATGGTATTTTTGTGTGGTTTTAATGGTTTCCAATTAATCTAATATATAGTCCACTTCTTCATCCTTTATATTTATATACAAATTCAATAATTGTTATGATTTTAGCCGTTGTTATTGATTCTCACCGTCGAGTGCTTCGAGATATTTTTGATCGATAACGACGGGAACGATCTTATGTCTGAACAAAACAAATTAATTCATTAGTACCTTATATTCATGTAATGTATTATGCATTGCATTCAAATAGATAGTGATGTATGGACTACACAGGGAGACAGAGACAGACACTACACCACTATTAATATACAGTGATAAATATGTAGGGAATAAATGAGTGGTATGTTATGGATGGTAGTAGTGGTGGTGAGAGTGGTGTCGGTGTTGTGGATGTCTTACCTAAATGGCAGTAGTAATAGAATAATGACGGGGAAGACCATCTTGACGTAGGGCCAGGGACTGAACCCGAAGAAACACATGAGCCCTAACTGAATCATTTGGCAGAGTGTGAACATATGGATCTTGCGTTGCGGACACCGTCTTATGTAATGATTAGGCGGGTAAGCGGCCTAACACGGGGGCAGACAATGGATAGTGTTAGCAATGATGGTCAATGTTAGACTAGTGATGATCACTCACTTGTTCCATAAATAGTAATGTTATTCTTTCAAACATTTGATTACTATTTAACGAAGTTATAGCCATATATAAAAATAGGCCGTTGAGTACAGCCGTCGGAATGTACGCCAATGGGTAGGGAAGCATGAAAACCGAGAGTCCTATTAGTATATGAGACACAATGCCTGTCATACGAGTTTCCCTCACTTTCACAATACTATTGCCAAACAGAGGGAAAAGAGAAAAAAGAAATATGAGATGAGAAGACATGGAATGAAAAATATTAAGATCAAAACGATTGAATGCAAACATTGAAGACATAACATAAGGCATAACAATAATAACGATAACATAGGAAACAGAATAACAGTTAAAGAGAAGCGAATAAAAGTAATGCAAACATAAGGGAAAGAGTGGAATAAGAAATACATTTCTATCGTTGCTATAAAAGTAAAGTAAAAGTATATAACAGTTATATTTTTATGATATATGAATGAGACTTATGGTGAATATGACAAATAGTAAGCATGTCATACATCTCATATACATGTCCCTGATCTACGCGCTCCTCCACATCGGCCAGACTCCTGACGTGTAGGGGTGAGTGCGGTAACACTCCGTGCATCCACGGCAGGCCATACATCGATAGAAAGCCGTTCAAAATGCCCACAACAAACAGATCCAAATGATAGGCACACCCTTTCTTCAGTCTATGATAGACACGATCATCGAGAATAAAAATCATTTAATTGATATGTTTACGATGATGGTAATAGTTTTGTATATGTTATCAACATGGTCAATTATTGCAAGTGAGTGCGTGTGTGTATGGTATGGGTGTTTGGGGAGGAAAGGGTTCATTACTTGTTGCACGGGTTGTTAACCATCGCGGCTGAAATGTTTTGGTCCATAAAAAATAGCAATGAGAGCGAGAATCCCAAACCCATGCATGCGATGAATGCCGTCCACGGAAGGTATTCCAGTCGAGCTCTACTGAACTCAAAGTGAGCGCTGTATCGGAAGTGTTCAACTGTTTGCCACAACACAAACACACAATACATTACAATACAATACATTTTTTCATTTCAATCATCAATTGTTTTCTCGTATTTTTCATTTTTGAAAAAGTTTCGCATTTTTGTTGCTTTTTTCTAAACTAACTTTTCAAGTCTTATAAGTTATGTACAGTATATTGGGTTTCATTTAAGGATCAAAATTCTCACAAATCGCAGTGAAATAACATCTTTGAGCACAAAATTTATAGTTAATCTGAAATATATTTGAATAAAATGATTGCAAAATCTCTCGCTATTTGTATAACAGATATTAAATATGTTGTCATATGAATGACTGAATGAATGGATGAGAAGCTGACGACTCAGCAGAAGAGAAGAAATGTATCGCTAGTTAATGTGTTTTAACGGCATTTACTTCAAGCGACACTCAAAATATGATTTCTTCTCTTCTCCTCTCTATTCTGGCTATAAATTGAGTCTCTTTTGTGTCAATATTTCTGTCGATGTTTTTTAGTCACTAAAAGGATATATTAATATATGTGTTGTTTTTGTTGTGTCCGTCAGAAATCATATTTCATTTGATGATGAGATGAGCGCTGCGTTCATCCCTTAGTGATGAGATAATGCAATTGTGTTCATGTGATGGCATACCTGGTATGTCCCTGAAGACAAAGGATCCAATAAAGCTGAGCAGTAGGACAGCACAGGGAAGCGCATAGTCAGCTAATAGTTCCCTTTTGCTCGCCTGTAAGTACGGTCTGGATATACATGTAATCGCAAAACAACAAAACATATCATCAAAATTCAATATTTATGAAAAACATTACATATTTCATACATGAATACAAAATTCTACATCATTTCAATCAAATATTATTCTCTCTCTCTCTCTCTCTCTTTCTCTTTCTTTCTTTCTTTCTTTCATTCTATAATAAATCGTGAGTCAAATCCATGAATATTTCTTGTGTTAGATCTCTGAGCAAAACATTTATATAAAATATATTTCTATTTCTTGTTTAAAATTTTTTCTTACAATTGATTTCAATTTTTAAAGCAAATAATGATCTTTTTATTCAATAAAATAAATATATCTTTTAATAAATTTATTGCTTTTATTCAAAGACTAGGCTTTTGCTAATTCTCATCCAAAACGTCTATTGAATAAATTATTGATTAATTTTTATATTAAATATGATTTGATTAATTAAATTATAGCCCAAAATATTCAGTTTGTGTTAAAACGCGGTATTAATGTAATAACTTTAACCCATAAAACATTAATTAATATGAAAATGAAAACCTTTTTTCTCTACATTTCACAGTCTATTCCCAAAACGTTATCAAAAAAAAAATTAAGCATAAAATCATTGGCATAAAGAGTAACCATTTTCTTCATGAGAAATAACTGAGCGATAAGTAATGTCTTAAAAAAACATTGCAAATCATGGACTAATACGAGAGAGCGAATCGGTTGTTGACATTGATTTACATGACTTGAAATGTGATAAATATATATTGAATAACAAGAAATATATTTGTCTCAAACGGATGTCTCACAGAATTTATTATTCATTACAAGAGTGTAGAGAGAAAAATATTGTCATTGCTTTTAGAGAATACAAAAGTATAGGGAAAAAAGTGGGAAAAGTGAATACAATTGTATAGTTATGGTAAAGAATAGGGTAAAAATAGTATTGCAAAAAATATATTGAAAAATAGACTAATATACTGACGTCTTATTGAAATTGAAGAGCGAGACGGCCAACCAAACGGTGCCCAACATTAGAAGCAGAAATAACAAACTACTCTCTCGACGGCATATAAGCTCCGGCGTTAGCGTCAGGTCATCGAAAATGGTGGCGTTTTCGGTGCCGTTCGTCGTGTTTGCGAACAATGATGTATTGTTTTGTATATATATGTAAGACTCGACCGAAACACTGCTATTGTATTGCATATCAGTGCAAATCGGCGAATAATAATGTGTTTGAAAATCTATGCATAAAATAAGGTTTTTGTTATTTTTCGGACAAATACTTTTGAATTCAGTCATTAATTATTTTCATAGAGTTTTTGTATGTTATATACAGTATGTTTGTCAAACAAAATCTTGTACTAAACACATAGTCGTCGCTAATCGATAATAATTGTCATTTTTCATCATGTATTCAAAAATGGATAATATTTTACAATGTATTTAAACTATTTAATTTTATACTCGTAAAATTACCATGGGTATCACTTTGGTGAAACTTGTTAATAATTTTTTGCAAACTAAAAAGTATATCTCAATTTAAGGTTTAATGTTAAATTAAATTTTTTATATTAATAAAATTGTAATTTAATATACACTCTGTATATTATATTTAGTACTATTGTGTTTTTACATAGGAATGCATTACAACATTATCCTACTATAAACACATGTGGATTAGGCATTTGTAATCCGATTTTAATAAACTCAGATGTTTTTAAACAAGTATAAATTACATTTTAATTTCATGTACTCTTTTTATAATTTCACTAATATCCTGGTCATTTCAACGCCAATATTTTCACACTCTGCCAAATGATTCAGTTAGGGCTCATGTGTTTCTTCGGGTTCAGTCCCTGGCCCTACGTCAAGATGGTCTTCCCCGTCATTATTCTATTACTACTGCCATTTAGGTAAGACATCCACAACTAGGGTGACCAACTCAAAAAATTTAATACCGGGATTTTTTTGTGAAAACTCCTGATAATTCCGGGACATTCCGGGACATTAAAAAATTATTCCAGGATATTTTCCGGGACGCTTGTAATTATATAATATATGTTTATCTATACCCATTTAAGGCATATTATTTGCTAAATTAAAATATGGTATTATTATTTTTGCTAAATTAAACTATTTTATATGCAGGATTTGTTTTTAACTATTTGTAATTTTTAAACTATTGTAAATGAGATTTTTTTTAAACTAATGATTCTTGGAAAATAATATTTTTGTAGTAAATCATTGTTAAATGATTTTATTGTAAATTAGGAATTTTGTTACTGGCTCCAATAATTAATTTAAAGTTGAATTTGGGTTCGTCATTTATAATTTGTTTAAAATTTCACTATTTATTACTTTTTGAATACATTTGTAATTGCCAGATATATCCCGGTTTTAACATTTCTCAATAAATTTTATTGAAAATACAAAGCAAAATATATTTGAATTAGATATTTGCTTGATAACAAATTTAAGGAAATAACACTTGTATAACCAAACGCTTGAATTACTTTAAGTATACAAATTCTAAAAAATAATATATTTTTGGAATTTAAAAACTTTGACCGTCCCTGTCCCGGTCTGACCTTCGCCGGGACACGGGACAAAATGCTCAAAACCGGGACTGTCCCGGCCAAACCGGGACGGTTGGTCACCCTATCCACAACACCGACACCACTTACTACTACCCTGTTATCCATAACATACCACTCATTTATTCCCTACATATTTATCACTGTATATTAATAGTGGTGTAGTGTCTGTCTCTGTCTCTCAGTGTAGTCCATACATCACTATCTATTTGAATGCAATGCATAATACATTACAATGTAATGTACATGAATATAAGGTACTAATGAATTAATTTGTTTTGTTCAGACATAAGATTGTTCCCGTCGTTATCGATCAAAAATATCTCGAAGCACTCGACGGTGAGAATCAATAACAACGACTAAAATCATAACAATTATTGAATTTGTATATAAATATAAAGGATGAAGAAGTGGACTATATATTAGATTAATTGGAAACCATTAAAACCACAGAAAAAAATACCATTTATTTGTACATAACATACGAATAAATGGTATTTTAATGTTTAAAAGAGAAGAAATAAAGACTAATAATTTGTGAATATATTATAAATGAATGCAAACCATGCGTTTGGGATTGAGTTTTGCATTTATATTAAAGACATCGCC